AAGAAAGAAAGAAAGAAAGAAAGAAAGAAAGAAAGAAAGAAAGAAAGAAAAGAAAGAAAGAAAAGAAAGAAAGAAAAGAAAAGAAAAGAAAATCATCTTGAAGTGCAAAATAAAGGGGTGCCTGTGGGGCTCAAGTCGGTTGAGCATCCGACTCTTGGTTTTGGCTCAGGTAATGATCTCCACCTTCATGAGTTCAAGCCCCAGGTCGGGCTCTATGCTGACAGTGTGGAGCCTGCTTGGGATTTTCTCTCTCTCTGCCCCTCCCCCACTAGTGTGGACACACACACTCGAAAAATAAACATTAAAAAAACTACAAAATATCATCACTTTGAAATAGGAACTTGAGAAAGTAAAAGCATTTACTGAAAGTTACATTTTCTCATCTATCCTGTGTCACTAAGATGTTTACAAAACATAGAAACTGTTCTCCTGGTGTCTGATGGTTTGAATGGGAAATTCAGTTTAGCTATTCTGTCTCTGGTAATGCAAAAAAGAAGTATGATAGTTCACCTCCGTCATCTCTCAAAGCTACATATACACCTTACCCACCCCTAACTCCGTCTTATCAACACACAGAAACATAGCCAAAGCCTTCTTGACTCCACCTGTAATTATTCTAGAATAACAAATTCATTTAACACCATGTAAAACTCATTATTTTTTCACCAAAGCTGACAAAACTAAAATTTAACATGGACTCAGCTGTATTACATTCTGGATACACTAAACGATTCCAAAGTGACTTTATTCATGACTTTGATGACATTATCTCAGCATGACCTGTGAGGGCAAGAACCAGGTCTTGATCACATCAGCACTCAGAGCACAATGACACATGACACTGGTGCTCAATGAATACAGACTAGATAAATACATAAGTGAATAGATGAATGAATAAAATTCCCACGCTGACCATCAACATCAAATTGTGCTACCCTAGGGGCACAGTCGGTTAAGCGTCCGGCTTCGGCTCAGGTCATGATCTCGTGGTCCGTGAGTTCGAGCCCCGCGTCGGGCTCTGTGCTGACAGCTCAGAGCCTGGAGCCTGTTTCGGATTCTGTGTCTCCCTCTCTCTGTCCCCTCCCCTGCTCACACACAGTCTGTCTCTCTCTCAAAAACAAACATTAAAACAAGAAAAAAAACCACAATGAGATGTCATCTCACCCAGTTAGAATGGCTATTACTGAAAACATTAACAAGTGTCATAGGAGGGAAATACCAGGTGTTGGCAAGATTGTGGAGAAGAGGGAACCAGTGCGCAGTCTTGGTGGGAACGTAAATTTGTGCAGCATTGTGGGAAACAGTACGGAGTTCCTCAAAAATGAAAAACACAAGCCCCATACGATCCAGCAATTCCACTACTGGGTATTTATCTGAAGAAAATGGAAACGTGGACTCGAAAAGGCAGATCTGCACCCTAGGCTCACTGCACATAATTTACAGCAGCTGAGATATCAAAGCAACCTAAGGGTCCCTTGACAGATAAATGAATAAAGTCGCGGTGTGTGTACATGTACGCGCGCACACACACACACACACACACACACACACACACACACACACACACACACACGAGTATTACTCAGCCAGAAAAAAGCAGCTTGCCATTTGCCACAACAGGGATGGACCCTAAGAGCACTGTACTAAGTAAAATAAGCCAGACGGAGAAAAACAAGCACCGTGTATCTCACTTATATGTGGAATGTAAAAAGATGAAAACAAAAACAAAAGCTCATAGACACAGAAGAGACTGGCAGTTGCCAAAGGCAGAGGCTGGGAGGTGGGTGAAGTGGGTAAAAGGTAGAAACTTCCAGTTATGAAATAAATAGAAGTCCTGGGGACGAGACGTACGGCATGGAAACTATAGTTACTACTGTACTGCAGGTCTGCAAGTTGCTAAGAGAGTTAATCTTAAAAGTTCTCATCACAAGTACAAATAACTGTGCGCAGGTCTGGTAACGGACGCTTCCCAGGCTGTGTGCCCACTTATACCGCATCAGAATGCTGTGCACCTGAAACTAATATATGTCGATTACACCTCGGTTAACACACACACACATACACACGTCTGTGAAATATTAAATACTTGGGTTATCGATCTAGAAATGTGTCTAACAGTTGGACAACAGAACAAAATTATGTGTTTATAAAGAAATGACACTTCTTTCTCACCTATGGATGTACACGTAAGCACTGGTATATTCAACCAGTGAGCAGTTTCACCAGGTTGATATGAAAAAGATGTAATGATAATTAACATAAAATTTCACAGCACATTCCTGTCTAGGAGACCTAAGCCACGTCCTTGACACGACCTCTGCTTCTGGCCAGAGACACAACAAGGAGACGACTGTCGGCCCCCAAAGCAGGGACCATTACGGCAGAACAGCCGGGAGTGATCCCTCCACGGAAAACATCCCAGGGCAAGACGTCCCAGGGCAAGACATCGCGGCGGTGGTGTGCCCACGCTCAGCAGCAGATGCAGACCGTTACCACCGCCACCAGCAGACACGGGACCCGCGACTCAGGGACAAAGCACAGCTGGGGGTAACCGCAGGAACTGCTGAAAATCAACATGGAACACACCAGAAGAAACCGCGTCGTACGATCATGTCTTTGGAATGAGTGTGGCAAGAAAACCCTCAGGCAGGCAGAGCGGTCTCTGGTGCTGAAAGAAAGCAGAGCTGAAGAAAAGCTGAGGACTAAAATGGAAAACATTAAAAATAATGAAAAATGAAAGGAAATGAAACAAAACCATCTGAACACGACTATGTGCTGAAAGAAAAGAGGCTACGTATAGGTCATGACACAGACGGGAAAGGAGGATGTGCCTGATAAATAAACAGGACCTTAAAAAAAGAAGAGAAAAGCTCCTCCCAGATGCAAAACAGAAGGGTGAGGTTGGACACGCGTTCAGCTTAAAGTTGGAACAGCATCAGACAGAAATGGACTTTGAGTGGGAAGGCCCTTGTTGGTTTTCCTTAGGAACGGAGATCGAGGGATGGGTCCAGTGTCACAACTGGGAGCTCAAAGTGAGAGGCGACCAGCCCGTGACACGTCCCACACCCTATCTGCCCACATGGACGTGTGTGAGGATCTCCAAAGTGTCAGCGTGCAGAGGGACGTCACGTCTTTACTGGCACCAGCTGCCTCTGATCGCTTCCTTGGCCAGGACTCCACAAGGACCCAGGACGAACTGATAACCCACCAGGCACCATCATGGTAGGCTTTATAAAGCCGAGAAACCGGCAAGAGACAATTCCAAGCAGCTACAAGTTCGCACCTGGCCCACAACGCGAGCTCTGAGCGGCGGGCTGAGCAAAGGCAGGCCCCAGAAGGAAACAATGGGCCGGGCAGCACAGAGAGCGGCCCCGCGCGGTTCCTGGCCCCACATCCTGTTCCCGGCACGCTCCTGGAGCAGGGCTCCTGCGGCAGGCTCTCTGGTGGCCATCAACGGCACGAGCCGTTGGGCTCAAAGGGCCACGTGGCTATTTTCCCAAGACCCGTGCCCTAGCAACCTGCGGAACGGATAACAGAGTAGCCAGACAGCGAGCGCCTGCTTTATAAAAAACGATCAGTGTCCTAATGAAGTCCTACTCCCTCCCCACTCAGGAACTTCTACTAGATGGCCAGTAAGGACTTTTGTTTTCTGGTGACAGGCCCACGTGGCAAGTCCTCAGAAAGGCACCAGGTGGAGCTGAGACACTTCTAATGCTGCACGTGTTTCACTAACGCGGGCAGAAAAACACCTCCACGAAAGTTGTAGCTCCACGGGACCATCACGGAGAATACCACCAGTTCTTCCTAAGAGTAAAGTATCGGCCAAAAAGACAAACTCTGAAAATAATTTAAAAACCAGCCCCAACTTCCAATGTTCAGATAAAGTCAAGACCTCTTTCTTCCTCCTCCAAAACCAGCCCAAATCAACAAGAACAAACCCCACTTGGAATGTTTAAAAATAAAACCACCGGGGCGCCTGGATGGCGCAGTCGGTTAAGCGTCCGACTTCAGCCAGGTCACGATCTCGCCGTCCGTGAGTTCGAGCCCCGCGTCGGGCTCTGGGCTGATGGCTCAGAGCCTGGAGCCTGTTTCCGATTCTGTGTCTCCCTCTCTCTCTGCCCCTCCCCCGTTCATGCTCTGTCTCTCTCTATCCCAAAAATAAATAAACGTTGAAAAAAAAATTTAAAAAAAAAAAAAATAAAAATAAAACCACCTGTAATAACGCACGCCTAATTCTGATCATTTCTCACATAATCAGACACCCTAAAACTCTCACAGCTGACATAGAATTACCCAGGCTTCTGTCTGGGGCCCTTGGCCGTCAGGCCTCCATCCACGGGTCTCTTGGCCACTGCGTGGTCCTGGCTGGGGTCCACAAACTTGAACACGTGTGACGCCCCAAACTGCACTTTCATCCCACTCTGCAGCATGGTTGTCTCGGAGATACGCTGTCCTTCCACGTACGTCTCGGCGTCCATGCTTCTCGGAGTCACGGTGACAACTCCATCCATGTTTGTGAGGTCACAGTGATGGGGCTGAATTCCTGATCCAAACAGCTAAGATAAAATCAAAGAAACTTCCGTCACAAAGGACACAGTACTTAAAAACAGAACTTTTGGTACTTTTCGGTGGATTTCCTCCCAACAGTACAAAAGTAAACACTGTCAAAATAGTGTCAAACTGAACACATTAATTTTAGCATCCAGTAACCTGACTGAAGACATACGGAGTTGAAAAGCACACGGCCACCTGAAACATTTATCAGATAATAATCTGTACAGATCATTAGGATCACACACTCTTTACCTGTCTTACCGCTATGCTGAAGGAGGGATGTTAGAACAGGAAAGGACACTAATGATCTGACCCATCATTTGCAGTCGGCAAAGGGCAGCACAGGAGAAAGGGCGGTCTGCCAGAGTTCAGCTGAGTTCTATCAGGTAAGGAACCCGAACTTCCTCTTTAAAGAACACTTCATGCTGTTTTCATTAAGTACCTGAGAACCACATCCTGCTAACATTTTAACTACCGTTCAGGAAGCCCCCACTGCTACGGGCATCAGTCCCAGCAACAGGACTCTCACACAGGCCACCTCCTCTAATCCTGACAAAGACCCATGAAGTCATCACCACCTTCTGGAGAAAAGCAGTCTCAGAGGAACACGATGACCACATCAAGTTTCTAGAGGTGGAGAGGGAACCTAATTTCACAGCCTGCTCTGTTCACACTGGAGCATTTCTTTATGTTAAAAGATAAAGTCTTTCCTTTCTGTCCACTCCTTCATCCGCTGCCGTGCGGCAGGCCCTGCGCTACGTGCCCTTGCCCACCCAAGTGTGAGCTACGGAGGGAGCTAGACCTGTGGCCACCCGCGCACCTGGATGGAGTTCTCCTCGAACTTCTCTGTCCCGACCTCAGTAACGCTCAACTGAAGGCGGTAAAGCTTGGGCTTGTCCCTGGAGTCAGAACCATCTGCAAAAGGAAAAAGTACAGAACTTCATTTGTAAAGTGTAATGTTCCTGTCATGTCATTTGAAACAGGCCAACAAAGCAAACAAAAGCTTGTCTTAGAATGAACGACAGCTCTCAATTCTCAGGATTTCTTATCAAAAAACTCCCCAAATTTATGCCATGCAATTTAAATGGATATACAGAAACTTCCCATTAAGACACAAACACATCAGCTGTTTCATGTGACTTAAGGTGCCAACATCATCATCTATAACCATCATCTTCTTACCACATGAAAAGAAATCTCTCCGCCATACGGCCCTGGATTTTTGTTAACGATTCTGAAGAGCAACTCTATTAGGTAAAGATGACCAACACATACGGACTTCCCTTCAGACCAGATCCTCCTCCCAGCAAACCTGCCATGCAGACCGCACACGGCAGGCACCAGGTGCACGGACGGGGTATAGCAGGGTCACTGGTGGAGGTTTTAAACATACCACCTCACGGCTCATCCAGACCTTTTGGACCAAGATCTCGGGAGGAGGCCCACGCATACGTCTTCCAAAGAATCTCCCTAGGTGATTCCAATACCCATTTCTGACATTAAGTTCCAGTAAGAACTACCATCAAATGTGCTTAGCTCCACGGGAACTTGGGGATGGGGGTGGGTGGCTAATCATTTTATACCTCGGTGAACTGTAGATCTTTTTAATTTCCCTGTGCAGGAATCTCTGTGGTGGGCTGGGGACGGGGATGACGTGGGGGAGGAGAAGGGAGAAGACCAAGACAGCTGTTCACTTGTACCCAGATGTTTACTCACTTCTCACCTACTGTACTCAATGCAGGATATGGATCAAAGATTTCTTCAGATTTCAGAGTTGTGAACGTACAAGGAAACAGGCCTCACAGGATCAGTGAGTCCTGACCCGCCTCCAGGCCGTGGCCATCAACCTACACCAGGTCTTTAAAAGGCCGAGTGGAGCCTCCCTGACCTACTTCACTGACATGCTACTACCCTGCAGCCTCACTTATGGGGCCACGAGTCACAATCTCTAGTCGCTGGGATCAGGAGGTAATCGCTTCCGAAATTAAACACTGGGAGCGCACGCGGGGTGTAGACTGTTCAAGTCTCTTGGCTGTGGTGCGGCCTGAGCTCCCGCAGACAAAAGACCCTGCGAGCGCACAAGTCCTATGAGCACTGTTGTCAATTTCACAGTACACACAGAGTAACATTCCAATAACATTTCCCCCTTCTGGCGTATTTCAGAAACCTGTCAAATCTGGATGAAAATAACCTGTATTTGAGAGACACAACATCTCATGTGAATGAGAATTCATCATCTACCACGCTTCACAGCTGGAATATTCTCATCATGTGCGGTGCCACCTGGAGCATTTTTTTTTTTTCCTTAAACAGTTATTTCAACTCCAAGTCCTGACCCAAAATGAGGCACTGGAACCATCCAGGGCTTCCCCTGGACGCGGGCAGTTCCCTTCCATACCCGCAGAGTCCAAGCCCCCTAGGAATGTGTGGGATTTTGCCGGCTTTAAACAGCACAGGCAGTCCCAGTACATAGTCCCGGTCAGGAAGTGGCGTGTGTCGTCCTCCTGAGCACCACAGATCGCTTCATCTTCCTGCCGCTCTCCCTGGTGTACGAGTGTTTTATTTACTTGCCGCCCCATCTCCGAGCTCCTTGGAGGCTCTTTTTTAAATCTCTGTATCTTGGCATTTGGTACAGTGTCTGCTCCACCGTATACATTCAACAAAGATTTAGTTTATTAACAGGAAACAATCAGTGACAGAAAATGAAGAAAATAATGCAATATGGTCACACAGAAATTACACCAATGCATTACAAAGTAAGCAAAAGCAGCAAATAAATGATGAAGAACAATGGTTTCCATACAAAGTTAAAAAATACCAAGAACGTGAAAAATACCAGTTTAGGGGGTGAAAGAAAAACTTGACATGAACATTCTTCTGCATTCTGAGTGCTTCTGAGGGGTACCTTGTGAGCTAAGACGTGGACAGGTTGTGCTTTGCTACATCAGCAGAGTTGCAAGTATAAAGCAGCGGGGAAGTACGGACCTCTTGCCCCTCCCCCCCATCTCACTGTGCTGGAGACGTCCCGACTGATGGATCAGAGGGAAGCTTCTTCCCGGGTTCCTCAGTTCTTACGACTTCACAGTAACGGAAAACACAGATACGGCCTCCAGGGGTGGATTCTGAGTGAGCCAAATGGCAGCGACCAAACTCACTGGATACAGTGGGGTTTGGCCGGAGCTGGGGAGTACGGGCAGGGGAGGCAGGTCATCTTCAAATGATGGACATCTTTCTTTTTGGAACATTTCACTCCTCTGTCCTTAGTAAAAGGACAGGGACCATCTCATGGGTGTTAACGAACATGGAAACGTGGTACCTGAAACAAACCCTTGTATTTCCCCCCCTGCTCACTCAACAGTGCTCCAAGGACCATTCACTCCCGCCTGAGCACCTCTCTTCCGCACACAGGACAGACCTGCAGAGCCTTTAAAAGCACAGACGAGTCTAAGTAACTCTCCCTCCAACAGCAGTGCTTCTAGCAGGTTGTTGTTTTACTGTCCTGACAGAAAGTCAAAAGTATATAAAATATTCATGTAGTTTGAAATTCAAAAGGCACAGAAAGTATACAATGAAAAACAGCCTTCTTTTCCCGGCCTAATTGTCCACCCAGAAGCAAATCTTGAAAATCTGTTTTATGCACATACAATTAAGCAACTCAACACACATTTTTTTCTTTTTTCTGGACAAACATTAGAACACTCTTTAGGGTTGACAAATGAAATACATGTCATCTAGTCAAATGGGCAATCGCTGGGCCCCATTCACACAAACACTGGGGTTTTATCTAAAATTCAAGTCTCTGGATGTCCTGAATTCTATTTGTCAACTCTGCTACCCCTAAATTACCATTCGCACTGTTCTGCATCTTGTTTCTGTGCTTTTGCCTTTTTTAATTTGAGATATAACCCAAAGTTTTCCTAGTACCCTAAACATTAAGAGAAAACAAGCCCTTATACACAGAAGACCATTTTTTAAAGAGCACTTTTGTTCTTACCCTATGACAATTCTACCCTTCCAGCTCTGCTTTTGCCTTTGCTCATTTCGCAGGGTGAACTTCTGGAAGTTGGTTTCTGGTACGAAATATGGTCTGCCATACCACTTACAAAAGGGGGAGGGATGCGTTCATTTAAAGAAGGCTGAGCCACAGAGCGTTTCTTGTGTCCCAGGGGTGGTGAGAAACTGAACGTACGTTCACATCCCCACAACTTACACTTTGGTGAATCAATGCAATAGTTAAGAAACTATCAAATTTTTGAAGCTTACTGAAACAGAGCTTAGAGCGTATTTTCACTAACTCTATTTAGAAAAGCAAACAAACTAGCTCTTCTTAAATAAAAATGGAAAACTAGAAACACTCTGGTCAAACTTGAGGAATATATACTTTTTTTTTTTTTTTTTATACACAGCAGGTTAAAAAAAAAAAAAAAGGAAATGTTTTCTCCTTCCTAGTGCTCCATAACTTTACAGTATGAAATTAACAAACACATGAAAACATTAAAGAATCCTTTTCAGGAATAAAAAAGTACAAAACACACAGTAAAAACAGGTCTTAGACTCTATGCATGTAGAAGTATCAAAACAGGTGATAAACATCACTTGCTTAAATGTTCTTTAAAAAGAACAAATGCGGAAGTTCCCAGTTCGGTTAATAACCAATGAAAATGTGTACAATCAGTTTGGAGGAAATGCAACAAACAGAAGATGCTAAAAGGTGGGTAAACTCTATACAGCATGGGAGAGCATTAGAATGTTACATTAACATGTAAAAAAATAACATTCAAAATATAAAAACAAAAAAAGAAATATTTCCATAAAACCAAAAACTACCTGTACTATGGAACGTCACAAAGACACACACAAATTTGAGAAATTCTACGTAAGAAAGTACATCTTCGCTCACAAGAAACAGATTTCAACCAGGAGAACAGAGCTAATCCTGGAAACGTCCTATAACGTGGTCGTAACATAAGCTGAGGGTGGATTCTCTTCCCCTTCGGCCTCCCAAATGTTGTCAGACACACACCACCGACTGGGACAGCCCTCCCCGCCGCATCACAGCCAGGGTGCGTGACAGCAGGGCACCTGCCGCTCCTCTGGGCCTCATTCTTACCCACCACCCTCGCTCTCTTCCCGCCCTGTCCCCTCCTCCCCCAGCTTCTCCCGGCTTCCTAACCTGCCTGGGCAGAGGAGGGGAAGGATAGGAATACCATTCCCGCCCTTCTTCGGCCGCAATCTCTGCAGACTTAACCCAAATAAGGGAACCAGACGTTCCTATAAAAAACGCCTGTATTAAACGAAGCGAACGCTGCATACGGAGCACTTACTGATCCGGATAAGGTGACAGTACAGTCCGTTTCTTAGCATCAAGTTATTCGTATCAATTCAAAAACTCCTGCAGAAAACGTCTGGTCAGGTAACACTGTTCTGCCCAAGACGTCCACTAGCGCCCTAGTCCCAGCAGTAGTAGGAAGCATAGCATTACCTTCGTAAGTGTGATAGCTGTAGTAGGCAAAGTGACTCCTTCTCCCTGGGACTAGGCGCACATGCACGGGGCCCAGGTGAAGGCAGCACCGGCAGGACAGAGGCCACGCGGAGCACGTGAAGAGGGAAGGAGGAGAGAGACAGGAGAGGGTGAGCTGTAGGAGGACACCTTTCAAAGGGTGAAAAGCACATTTCTCCCGCAGTTTTCGGGGCTGTGAGGACAAGACAACAGCGCTCCAGGCAGCGTGTGTGTTAGAAACCAATGCACACTGTTAAGGAAACACCAAGACATCAGGTCACTGAGCAGAAGAGCAAGGGTTAGTTCATCACATAGAAGACGGCCACCCAATGTGGCGGATTCCTTCTGTTAAAAGAACACATTTAAATCCAAATCAAAGAATAAAAGGGCTTTTTACCACCCCTCCATCTCTGCAAAAGCCAGTGAGGACAGTATGAGCACACACCCACGCCTCGGAAACACCGAGCCCGGGCCCTGCCTTGTGGATAGGTGCTCGGTGGGTAACACGTCCGGTGGAAATACAACACTGATCTGTTCAGGACAAACCCACATTTACCAGCATTATTTCCTCGTAAATGGAAACGAAATCCACCTCAGTCAGCATGCTGACTGCTCAACTAGTAATAACGTGAACTTGCAGGGCCCCCGGGGGCTCAGCAGGTTGAGTGTCTAACTTCAGGTCAGGTCATGGATCTCACAGCTCATGAGTTCGAGCCCCGCGTCGGGCTCTGGGCTGGCAGCTCGGAGCCTGGAGCCTGCTTTGGATTCTGTGTCTCCCTCTATCCCTCTGTGCCCCTACCCACTCGCATTCTCTCTCTCAAAAATAAATGAACATTAAAAAAAATAAAATAAAAAAAAAAACAAAAAACATGAACTTGCAAAAACAGCATGGCCCAGAAAACACAGCATGGCTTCGGCGAGGAAGGCCTCGGCCCGGCTCTCGTCTACCCGGGGGACCGACCGTGTGGCCGATGTGAATCACAGGCTCTTGTGGAACAAGGGCGAGGGAGGCGACCTGGCGGGCAGCCCGAGGCACTGGGGAAGGAGGTCAGACCACAGGGAGGCACCTGAGGGCAGGGACGGCTCTGGTACCTCGCCCTCCCTGGAGCAGAAGCTCCGTCAAGGTGGGTAAAGGCAGCAGGGCGCCAGCAAGGAGGGACACATGCGACCAAGAACCCCACGCATGCTGCGCCAACATCTAGAGAAAGGTTTCTCTGCAGGGTCTATTCTCGTCCCACACACATGCCTACAAAACTCCTTTGTGTTTAACAGGGTGACTACAAACATGAAATGAGCAGGGAAAACAGCAGTTCTCACTAGAATGTCAGTGGCCCAGGTCTCAGCAGGTCTCATCTGTCTTGCTGTGGCTCTACCTCAGAGGCCCTGACCAGGGATGGCCTGACACGTGGTGAGACAGATGCACGGATGAATGCTCGCCCCGGCTCTGCTCCCCATGCAAACCCCCTTCCCACTGTCCTCTGAAAATTACCCCATGTCAGCTCTTTATCAGGTCCCTCCAGACAGACACTCCTGAATCCTCAAAAATTTAGGTTTGGAGAAAACCATTAGCTTCCAGCATGCAATGCAAACTTTCAAAAAGCAGACCCAATGATCCTAGAAACTTCTAAGTTCCGACACATCGGCTGGCCCTCAGATGCCGTCACTGCCTCAGATGGCCACCGTGTGCACACGCCCTCTGGTCGCACAGCAATACCGGGCCAGGGCTCCAAACCACAGCGACAAGTTTAAATGAACTTTTCGGTCAGAGAACCGAGGGACAAAGCAACACTAACACATTCCTCACAAACAGCTCACCGATTCTGATAATTCCTCAAACATAACAAGTATAAAAACTACCACTTACAAGCACACCGCCACCGAGCATAAGTTACAGAGCATCGGCCCAAACCCCACTTTCCCGCGTCCACAGAGCCTGCCTGTGCCACCGGCTGCGGGACCACGTCTCGTAAACACCAACGCTCGAGAACCCAAGAACAGAAGGACAGAATTCCTGTCTGAGCAACTCCAGACGACCTACACAGCCACTTGGGTTTGCAGCTTCTTCTGTAATTACTAATTGAGCTTTATCGGAAAGCAGTCCTGGGCACGAGAGCGCAATCTCTGTTCTTCAAAGCATTTCAGAATACGGGGGACCCTCCACCATTTTAAGCCAATGAATAAAAAATAGTTTAGCTGAATAGTTTAGCTGAACGACCAAGAGGTCATGTGTGTATTTACATACGTCACATACACACACATTTTACTCTACATCCAGATGTGTGTATAAAACACCTCTGTAAGGACATTCATATATTTCTTTGCCTCTAAGGCTAATTTAGAACAGCTTTAGAGAAGAGCTCTAAAAAGAAACCGAGCACTAACATGAAAAGAAACCCAGTCTGTTAGGATTCTAAAACCAAATATCCTTCCTCTTCTAGATGGATTACTGTTCTGTTCAACTTAAAGGTACTCTTTCTCACACTGTTCACACATTCAACAGGACACGTATCCCACGTGTACCTGCTTGTATTAAATTTGCCCAAAGAGTACATTCCAGTTTGTCATTTTTAGGAGACTAAGTATTTTATAAGGTTATTTTGGGAAAAACATTTTCTAAAGAAGTGTATCATTTATCCTTAAACACCTCATACTCACGGTTTTAAATTTTGTTTTTCAATATTCATTTTTATCCACGTGAACTTTATTTTTATGCGTAAACATACATGTCCCATATAACCTCAAGGTTCTGGGTCGTTTTGTTATTTTTTTAAAAAATGTCATCTTATGAGAGTAACTTTTTAAAAAATAAATGGTCTAAAAAAGGTTTTCAGCCAACCGAAAGAGTACTTAAATACAATTCCTTACAAGTAAAACATTTAAAGCTGAAACAACATGCACCGATCATCCTTCTCACCTGGGCTGAGCTCCACCAGGTAGGGCAACTTCTCAGGCGGAAGTGCTGAGCCGTAGCCGGAACCCTCGGCTCTCTCTTTCCCTTTCACCAGCTTCCCGTCAACATGTTTCTTCGTTTTCTTCGGGACGTAGTCTGGCGGCCTCCTCTTCAACTGAAAGACTAAAACCCCTAGAACAGAATGTTGTAAATCATCAACCAGACTCAAACAGGCGAGGATGGCTGAGTGACCGATGGCCAACTCCCCTAAGATTTATCAGGAAAATATAACTTAATAACATCTTTCAAGGAATGATCGAGTGAAGGTTTACTCAATTTATACTTTTACTCAGTGGAGGAAATATTAGTCACTCGTATTCTGAAAAACTCTGGTAGCCGTGTGCAAAGATTATTTTTTTAATTTTCAATGTTATTTTTGAGAGAGCGTGCAAGCAAGCGAGCACGATGAGCAGGGGAGGGGCAGAGAGAGAGGGAGACACAGAGTCCGAAGCAGGCTTCAGGCTCCGAGCTGTCCGCACAGAGCCCGACGTGGGGCTCGAACCCACAAACCAGGAGGTCATATGACCTGAGTTGCAGTCAACACTTAACCAACTGAGCCACCCAGGCGCCCCTACAAAGATTTTAAATCAATGACTACCCAAGCATATTACATGCTTGAAAAATACCAGAGCATCAGTTTAAGAATAAATGAATGCTTATATTGGTAACTAACCCTATGATCAGTTTACACACACACACACACACCACCACCACCACCACCACCACCACCACCACCACCACCACCACCACCACCACCACACATACACAAATACATACACACAAAGATGTTTTTAGTTGATCTGATTTTTATTTAATTCAACTGAATTAACTCAGAATTCAAAGCAATCTGACTTTATAATACAGTTCAATTTTAAACAGTCTAGAGAAAGCACTAAGCACAAGTGTACTTTTTAAACCACCAACATACATTCAAGCACTGATAGGATGAATTGGCAATAAATCTTTATGTCTTTACTACACAAAGGTCCTCCACTGAACGACAGTTAGCTTATCACGTGGAACTGAGAGCAAAATGAGACTTTATCAAAACATGGCTTTCAACCTTCCTGCTCTGAAACAATCGGCAGAAACTGAACAGTGAAAAGTCTGGTTTATTATCTGAAATGACCGAGTTACTGACAATCTTTGGGGCTGCAGGTTACAGTCCCCCCTGTAATCAACCCGCCCACCTGGTCAGCACAGACAGGACTCCGGCTCCTCCTACCACAGCGTGACAGCCCGCTCCGGGCCCACACCCCCGCTGCACGTGGGCTGAGTGTGGCGCTCAGGACAAGGGACCAGAGGAGCCATTCAGCAGGTCTAGGGAGGAGGGCATAGACAGCCACGCCCGCTCTCCTGCACCCCTGACAGTGTCACACAGCTGACGCCTCAGGCAGAGGTTTAATGTAGCATATGAATGATTCTGTAACAAATAAAATTACCCTTTACCTCGGTCAGTTGGCCACTCCCTGAAGATCTGTAAAGGACACTCGTCATCATCGAGGATCGTTTCTTTAGCACCGTTTTCATCCGAATGCTGGGCTCCAGGAGGCAGCATAACCTGAAAGGAACAAATAATTAACTGTGACGACACCAGGATTCAGAAAAAAGAACTTCCTGTAAATAAAAGTCACAATAGAATTAAATGGACCAAACCCTACCACCAATCCTCAAACCACCAATCCTTAAACCACCAACAAAGGTGGAGGAGCACTGCGGGGAAGCGGCTTCCAACACGGCTCAGCCTGCTGGCTGTGCCGCGTCTACTCACTTGCCTCTCTGGCCCCCCAAAAAACTAGTTGAGTAATTGTTTTGTTTTTTTTAAAACAAACTCTTATGGAAGGACTGTACGTACTGGTCAAATTGTGAGCAATTTCCTCAGGAAAGATCACTCTACTGTAGCTCAATCTCCCTGGTCCCTAACCCACTTGCGCACTATCCGGTCATCATTTTTACAAAATAGTTTCATCTAAGGTGGGATCTCTCAGGATAGCCGTCACATAACGACAAAACAGAATAGCTCTTTCTTGTAGATAATAGCTTTATGATTAAATTTAATCAGATCATTTAGATATACTACAGGGTTATTCACGCAACAGATGTTTTTAAGTGTCTGGTTTAAAATGCTGCATTCACGACACTCTTAAAATTCATCATGCCATAATACTTTTTACTTTATGTTTTCATGGTAGTCAAACAGTTCTCTGAATAACTTGGGAAAGCCCCAATAATCCAGAGTAAAAATGAAGGTGATGGAGGCCCAGGGACCTCATGCACCTGCTGGATCGGCCCACCCTTCATTCAATTTGAAATACTAACACGTCACAACACGACTACAGAAAGTAAAATATGAGAAGCCAAGCCAGTGGCATCGGAACATTATTTTCAACGTCCAGTACTGCAACAGAGTTCTGTTCACAGGCCCTACCACCTAGATACAGCCTCACACTCACACACCAGATGGATGAGACTCTTGTGCAGAAGCCTACAACATCTCCACACTGCTTCAGATTACTTAAAAAGACAAGTGCATTACAACACACCCTCTTGCTAAAGTAATTAATCTTTCCTCATACTGCTTTGTACTGAATTTGGTATCTTGGGCTTAGAACACACAGTTCAGGACCTGACCTTCACTCCTCTTTTGCGTCCCGATCTTTGTCACACACCCTGGTAGATCCGGGCACGTAGAACTACTCAGAGCTCTCAGAGTAGGCCATGAATTCCATACTTCCGCGATTTCTTGGGCCTGAAGGCCGGTGACCCACTGGCCATGTCTAGCTCAACTACAGCTCCTCCAGGAGGCCTTCCCTGATTGCTCTCATTTCAACACTCCATGTTTCTTTTCTCATTCTTGGCTTCTCTGTAAGTTCCTTTAAAGACAGCTGTTGTTTTTGTAACCTAGCAGAGTATCCAACAAGAGGAACTTAAATATTTGTTGAACAATTAAACAGCTAGAACAACGATGAGTACGGAAGAGCTACATATCACGAAGCTAGCAAGATGGCAAGCCAAGAAAGAAAACAGGATTAAAACGATAATCACCTCCGTACTGCCTACGAAGCAGAATTTGTAAGGATGTGATAGAACAGAAAACCCAAAGCAGGAGACCCTCAAAAGAGATTCAAGTGACCTCAAAGAGGCCCGTCACTACAAGCCCAAAGCAGGCTTTTACAACCTCATGACCCTGATTAAGGTGTCCTTACACTTCTGAAGTTCATCCGTAAAAGTACAGCAGAAATGAAGGAAAGGGAAAAGATGATAAAGTTCATTACCATGTATTATATCGAATGCACCTTTACGTGGAACTGAATATATTTAATGGTCCACGGTCCCCTGGCAGACACTTAAGCAATCCCAAGTACGGAGCACAAGGTCAGGCCCCGGTAACCGAGCTCCTGCCCCAGGTGACCACAGAGTAGCAGGGGCAGGACTCTTACACTACCGATATACTGACTTTATTCTGACCAGGAACACCGTTTATAGCCGCTGCTGACCCCAAGTATAAGAAGCGCGTATCCAAATCCATTCTTATCCGTGGGCCCAATCAGGTGCTTCCCGTGGGTACAGCAGTTCTCACCACGCGCTCCTCAATGGAAGGCAAGGGTCTCCAGGGCCCAGCACTACCGCAGGGTCTCCTCTACTTCAGACTTCACTGCCAGGAGAAAATGCACCAGAATGTCCTGGATCTTCAGGATTTTCCCTCCAGAGGGAATACACAATTACCTTGGCTACCTGCTCTCCCGACCTGACCCGAGGCACCCCCCCTCCTCAAAGTATGGTGGCATTTCAGGTCGTGATACAGTTTCTCTATCTATGAACGCTAATAGCCAGAAATCCAGTATAAAATATACTTTTGCACGTCTGGAAGCATGGTTTCTCCTTCGAATTCACCAATCCTAGTTCTTACTCTTCCCTAGTAAGACCAAAGAAACAAAAGAGCACGTCAACACCAAACGCTCGTGGTCACCTATCTTCCCCACCCCACGGAGACACGAGCTTTGAGGTGTTTCGTCCCCATTCCCAATCATGCAGGATCACTATGGAAAAGTGAAATACAGAAAAGCCCAAGGAAGAAACGAACCCCACTGTGAGAGAACTATTTTTACGACCACACTTTTGGCAATGATCTTCACCCATCTACCTCACGTAAGAGGCTCCCATCGGCATCACACGTGGTATTTCAAAGTCTTCCATTCCCTGCCTTTCCGCTCATGTAGGTGGGTAGTGACCTGGAGCGTACCCTTCCCACGCATCCACCTTGCTGTATGGTCATGGATGCACACACAGGGGTTCACATTGCTTCATTTTATTTTATGGTAATTGTTTTTCCAAATAAAGGGTGTTTTATAAGACGGGTTTAATTCATCATGTTTCACAGCCACAGGTATTCAATGGTATGGATGGGCATCCCTTGAGTGATGGGTGCGGAGTTTGCTTCTTACTACCTGCTGTAACACATGGGAATGAGAACAAGTCCTCACAGAAACACACTCGGGAATTCACTAGCCCCTTGTTTTAGACAGACCGTAACACTTATCACCTTATTTATAAACACCATTCTCAATCTCAAACGCTAGGTCCACTCTGAAGTGGGTGCTCTGTAGGACGACTGCACAGATGCCCTCCAGACCCTCCTTCGCCACCACTGCTGGGATGACCTCCTGTGCCAGACTCTATTCTGGGAGCCGGGCTGGATCTTTCCCTTTCTTGGCCCACTCCGCCCATCTTGCTGGAGAATACCCTGCGGTACCTTTTTGAGAAAGGATGAATGGGTGGTAAATTTGGCCTTACGGGTTTTGAAAGGTCTTCGTTCCATGTACCTACCATTTGACAATCTGGACTGGAAACCATTTCACTCTGAATTAGAAAGCTACATGTATTCCAGGCTCCGTGACCACTACTGAAATGACTGGCAGCAATCTTGCCCCCCTTTATATGCGACTTGAATCTTTCTCCTTGGAATCCTTGTTTTCTTTTCTCTAGTTTTCTACAATTTCAAAATAATATGCCCTGGTTTGGATCTTTTTCAGTAATTGTACCATCATTCAGTGGGCCTTTTCAAACCAGCAACTCAAACCCTCCTGTTCTGGGAGATATTCTAGTACATTTCTTTGGTAACCTCTCTCTCCCCACGTCCTCTTGCTTTCTCTATCTGACCCTCCTTTAGGTAAGTGTTAGGTATTCTACTGCAGATCTAACTTTCTGATCTTTTCGTTTTGTTCTACACTTGGCATGTTTCCTTACCTTTATCTTTCACCCCTTTTACTGATACTTTTCTCCTATCCTTTATTTGCTTACATTTATAAACTTCTAAGGTCTGAGTGTCCCTTCTTACAGGACTTATTTGGTCTTATTCCACAGATACACGGTCTTCCTTGTTGTCCAAGTCTCTCGGTTTTTCAACACTTCCGTCTGCTTTCTGTCTTATCTGTGTTCTTTTGCCTGTTTGGGTTGGTCTTTCGTCTCAAAGGTGTTTCAGTGTCTGTTGAACCTTGGCCATCCGTTCACGTTCAACAGTGAGTCACGAGAGAGCTCAAGGTGAGGGCCGTACGTACATATGTATGCACGAGGATTCCTGCCAGGAGGCCTGAGTGAGGTTACTGGACCAGCGCTTCCACAGGTCAGTTTGCATACACATCCTTCTCACGTGGCCAGAGAGTGCCTTCTGGGAGAAGTCCTTAAATCTTCTGGCCGTCAGCATCCTGGGCAGAGGCTTCTGCTCCACCCTCCAACTTTCAGTCAAGACCCTTGCTGTGCCCTGTGTGCCCGTTACCCCCAAACACAAGGCCTCCTCCCCATCAGGTCGACCACAGCCTTCACACGGAGACAAGAGACGGCAGTTGGAATGGGAAGGAAATCTGGTGGAGTCCACTGCTTCTGGAAACTTTCAACTCAATATGATTTAGCTCCGCTTTCAATGTGGACTCGGGAAGTGCTAAAGCAACTCATTCCTGGGTCCGCGTGGGCTCGTGACATGGGCACTAGCAAGCTCCTCCCTGGCGGGTTCTCTCTGTAGGCTTTCTGCGGCCCAATGAGCAGGACACCTGTCACCTGCTTCTTCAGAAATTCACTCACAACCCTATCTTCCGCCATCTCTCCTCTCATTCTCTTCGTTCTTGAGCACTTACAACACAGGTTTTTATTTCTTTGTTGTCATTTTAATGGGAAAAAAACCTGTTCTCTCATCTATTTTCAGCTGACAATTCAACTATATTTATCAAACTACAAATCTACCAAACGGTTTTTCCAACTGAATATAACTTCTTAGCTTTTCAACAAAATTAAAAGGCATAAAACTCAACAAACTCTTTTACTTAATTCAATCTAGCTAATAAAAGAGGTCTGAGACCTCTACTCTGAGCACTACAAAATACTACTGGGAGCACAGAGATCACACACACAGAGGTGCACTCTGTCCACAGCCTAGAAGACTGGAGACTGAGGACAGGGTGTCCCCTGACTTATCTAAAGTCCATGCAAATCCAGTCACAACTCCAGCGGGTTCTGTGCAGAAATGGACAAGCTGATTCTGAAATTTATTCAGAAACAAATAATACAGAATAACTGAAGCAATTTTTAAAAGCAAAAACAGGGGCCCCTGGGTGGCTCGGTCTGTTAAATATCCAGCTTTGGCTCAGGTCATGATCTGACAGCTCATGGGTTCAAGCCCTGCGTCGGGCTCCGTGCTGACAGCCGGGAGCCTGGAGCTTGCTTCAGATTCTGTGTCTCCCTCTCTCTCTCTGCCCCTCCCCACTCACGCACATGTGTGCTGTCTCTCAAAAATAAATATTAGAAAAAATAAATAAAAGCAAAAACCAAATTGGGACTTATTTACCTGATTTTAAGACTTATTATCAATCTAGTTATCGATACAGTGTGGTGTTCACAAAAAGATAAAATACAGATTAACAGACTCCAGAAATAGAACCACACACACATATGGCCAATTGATTTTCAGCAAAGACGTTAAAGCACTCAACGGGGAAAAAAAGAAAGTCCTTTTAACAAACGGTGCTGGGTCAACCAATTATCTGCACCGGAAAAAATGAACACCTGCCCTGATCTCACACCAACATATAGACGCTAACTTGAAATGGAACAGAGACCAAAACGTAAAAACTAAAGTACAAAACTTCAGGAGGAAACTGCAACCTCAAAAGAGGTAAATTCTTACAGAGAACACAAAAATAATAGAAGGCTTAAAAAAAAAAAATGTATTCTCTAAAGGGCATCATTAAAAAAATGAAAAGGCAAACCAAGCCACAGACTGGGGAAAAAATATTCACAACACATGTATCCTACAAAGGACTTAACACAGAACTATCAAGAGGGAAATTAAAACCGTTTGCCACACGGACATCCCATTATTTGCTATCAGAAAGGCTGATTCTTTTTTTGTCTCTCAAAAGTATTTACTTTTGAGAGACAGAGCGTGAGCGGGGCAGGGGCAGAGAGAGAGGGAGACACAGAATCCGAAGCGGGCTCCAGGCTTCAGCCTCCGAGCCATCAGCACAGAGCCAGACGCGGGGCTCGAACCCACGAACCGCGAGATCACGGCCCGAGCATAAGTCGGACGCCCGACCGACAGAGCCCCCCGGGCGCCCCAGCATGGCTGATTCTTAAAATAATTGACAGTATCAAACACAAATGAGGAAGTAAAGCAACCACAACGTGATTTAATTGCTTTGGAAAACAGTTTCAAAGTTTCCTAAAAAGTTACACATACACCTGCCGCCCAGCATTTACTTAAGAAAACAGGTCTGTGAGGACACCTGCACACACATGCTCAGAGCAGCCTGACCGTAACCGCCCAAAACCCAACGCCGGGAACAACCCAAATGTCCGTCAGCAGGTAAGCGGGTGAAAGCACCGCAAACCATCCATATAACGAAATACTACTCAGCAACCGGAAGGAAGCCAGTGTAGACACGCCCAAGCATGCGGCCGACCCCGAGCTCCCGGTGCCCAGTAGAGGAAAGCAGGCAGAAAGACCGCTCGCTACACGACACCGTTTATGTGCAGTTCTAGTACACGAAACTAAGCGACAGAGAGCACTATCTGGGCTGGAGACGGGGTAAGGGACTTTCGAAGGTGAAGGGGTGTTCCTGGGGTGGGGGGTCGGTACTGGGGACACCGCAGACTTTAAATGCGCACGGTTACCGCCTCTACTTACTCCCCAGTCATCTTGTGCGGCGGGGGCACTAGGGCAAGTAATACATCACGGTTTCGTAATCAACTGCTAAGATGGGGAAAGGAAGGGATTTATTTCTTCTGAAAATCCACTGCCAGGAGGCGATTTTGCCAGAGAAATCCCGGTAATGAAGAAGTCAGCATTTCCTCGTGACTGACTCAAGGGTTAAGAACTTTCCAAGCAGTCTGCCTCAGGAGAGAAAACCTGCTTGATCTCACTTAGTGTCAGCCACTCGGCTGTGAGGAAAAGCATCTCATGGTCTCTGAGTACCAGGGTGAGAGATGCAGGCTTTATCTCCAAGACAGTCCGGCTACTAAACACACCGACCAAACGCTCGTTAGAACAGCAAACTGGAGTCCACTTAAGAGTGGGACCGTCACGAGGTATCTCAGTGAAAACCTTAAGACGACATCGTGAAAAAACACGAAGTCACCTATGTACACAAAATAAGAACTAAAGATATGCGTATATAAAAGCGTGGACAGTGGTTATCCTTTGGTATTAGAACTATGGGTGATTTTATTGTCTTCACCTTTTTACACTTTTTCTTACAATAAGAACATGTATTACTTCTGTAACAGAAGGGGGATTTAACACAGGGTTTCCACGTATTACATTTTAAATGATACAGTGCGAAGAGAACCAGCCTACACCGAAGTTCACTCAAAGGCTATCTTGCCACTTGAACGAGAAGTGCCGGCATATGTAGCAGCGGTAAGTTCTGGCTGGGTAGTCACTTACCCGGGCGATGCAGTAATCTTTAGGGTTCTCCTTCTCCAGACCGTATTTCTCTAGAGCCTCGGCCACAGCAAAGTCAGCAGGATCCGTGGTGGACAGCAGGATTGTCTTGTAGGGAATGTTCGGTTTTAAGCTATCTGCATAAATTCTCAGTGTTCCACCTGAAAAAAAACATTCAGACGTCCTTGAGCACTCCTTTATTTTATCCCAGTAACCGAGACAACTAACGTTTATGATCACTTTAAAAAAGGGCGTCTAAGTTCCGGCTGCCACGAATGCAACGATGAAATCTGTGTTCCTAATTCCACACTCATTTCCTGTTAGACAACACACGTCAACGGTCAGCTGCTGATCCAGTGGCACCGTATGCTGACTAGTCCTGTGCGACAGAACGGATCCTGTTCCCTCTTCAAGCCCAAGTAGTTCTCGTAACGATGAACCCATTTTCACCACAGTTCAAAGATGAGAAAAGGAAGAAACTCCACGGTGTTCCGACAGTGCTGCCTGTCAACGATTTAGCACACGCGAACTCACACAGAGGCCCGTGTTCCGATGCTGAGGACGCAGCCATGAACAGTCCAGTGTCCTGGCCTTCAAAGAGCTTCTACTCTAGGTGTGGGGTGCAGGGGGCGGGGGGAAAGAGCGACAAGAAAACCTAAGATGGCGGCACGCGTTGTGAAAAACACAAGCACGGTGGTAAGAAAGACCGTAACCAAGAGCTTCCTAAGCTTGTGGGACTGTTCAGCCTTCTCGAAGATGGACACCTGCCATGAGCCCTGGATGGCCAGCGGCGGCGACCTCGCGGCCACCTGAGGAGCTCTCTGGGCAGGGGGCGAGCAGGTGCTAAGGCCTTCAGCTGGCACAGGTCCGGAAGGCTCACTGGCCAGAGATGCACCCGAGGGAAGGCAGGGAAAATGCAGTCAGGCTGACCGAGGCCAGACCACGTGGGACTTCGCAAACCATGATCGCGAGGGCCTGGGTTTTACTCTAGCTGAAGTGGGGGCCACCGGAAGTCCTCAGTTGCACGTGTGCCCGTGCCACGTCGGGAGGCGGGCACAATGCCACCGGTGCTCTCCTAAGCGGCCGGGCTTCCGGCTGAAGCAGAGCCGCAGAGGGGGACGCCGTCCCAGCAGGGAGGCCAGCCGTTAAAGCGCGTGCTCCACTAGCCCAAGGTGCTCCCTTCTGACTTCATCGTGCCCTGCTGCCAAAGGCACATTCGGGGTAATTTATAAGGAAACCACGTACAAGAGAACGAGTAAGAACCATTTTGCAGACACAGGCAACCTGTCCGTACTGTGCCCATCAGACAACCAAGGAGCAAACCAGAACGCCTGTTCTGAAAGCTGATGAGGGGGCCTTGTGCCCTCCCTTAGGAGGCTACCAAAACATGCAAGTGGTCAGAAATCTAGTTTTTCTGAAAAACGTGGCATCTGCTTGAAGTCTAGACAAGTACTTTGCAACCCCAAGGTACAGACTGCAGAGAATCAAACACTTTTTGTCTGAAAAAACTTAAGGTCGGGGCTTCCCAGAAAACCATTTTCAAGACTCAGTAGGGCTCCTACAGATACACAATTTCGAGCAGCATTTCTTCTAAGGGACACGCCACGATGAGGCGGCTGGAAAACTCAGGCTCATGTGGCCAAACTTCACTACTGGATGGGTTACTTTTGGCATCCGTTTATCCGTCTACATCTAACTTGGTTTCAGTGTACTGAGTGTTGAGAGGGTCTAATTCAAACAGTTTCCGGTTTATAAGCCTAACACCACACCACGGTGTCTTTGTCACAGAGGCAGGCACCACTCTCCATGCTGAGGAGGAGGAGTGGAGCAGCTCAGTATAATGGACTAAAACCCATTTGCATCACTGAACGTTTCGGTCTCTGATGAAGGCAGGACTGGAGACGAGCACACGGAGGCCCGCGCCTCTCCAGGACCCCAAGTGCGGGACCCCGGTCACAGCTGGCACTCCCAACACGGGTCGTGAGGACGCCGAGGCGGGAGAATTCCCACACGGTCGCCGACGGTGTCGCAGTAAGAAATCCGTGGCTGTAACTGCTGCTCGTGCCCTGTGCCACGCATCAGCTACCTGAGACGCACGGGACGCTTCCGGGCCGGCTCCTCGGAGGACACCACAGAGCGCGCCTGAGTGCTTAACCGTGCTTTACAAAGCCCAGGGGGGAAGCTTCCTACGGGCCGAGTCCGACGGGCCGTGAAGGGAGTTCAGTCATCAGAACCGAGGGGGCAAACTGTCAACCGAGGGCTGACAAGACAGGGAAGTAATAGACTGAGCGGTCACTCTCGTTACACTCACCCGCACGTGACCACATCCCACGGCTTCTACCGACAGGACAGGTTACGAGAATACATTTTTGTTTTTTTTATTTTGACAGAGTGTGCGCAAGCAGGGGAGAGGAAGAGAAAGAGAGAGAGAAAATATCCCCAGCAGGTTCCACACTGTCAGCACCCCAGGTGGGGCTCGACCCCACAAACCATGAGATCATGACCTAAGCTGAAATCAAAACTCAGATGTTTAACCAACTAAGCACCCCGCCCCCTGCGACTAGTCACATTATGTAATCACTTTGCAGTGTATAAAAGGGTTGAATCATCACAGTGTATACCTGAAACTAACAATGCTGTTTGTCAATTCTACCTCATTTTATTATAATTTTTTTTAAGACAGAGTGCAAGCCAGGCAAAGGAGCAGAGGGAGAGAGAATCTCAAGCAGTCTCCATATTCGGCACTGAGCCCAATGTGCGGCTTGATCCCACAAACCTTGAGATCATGACCTAAGCCAGACGCTTAGCCAATAAGCCACCCAGGTGTCCTGAGAACATATTTTTCTAAGTCATTTATTAAAGACAAACAAAATAGCTGAACTTAATATATTTGACTGGTTAATATTAACCACAGCTATTTTGCTAACAATATTTAGGTTTTCAGTGTCTCCTGGAAGTCTGGACAGAAAACTATTCCTTCTACCCCCATCCCTCTAAAGCTCTACTTCTTAGATGTTCTGCTAGTTTTCCTAATTCCTTGGAGACTGTTTTGCTTCGTTTTCTCCTTTCACTGCCCAGTCCTCTTAACAGCGGCCTTCTCTTAAGTCTTCCCATTACCTACATACTTTCTACAAAAAGAATCTCACCCACGCCCAGTGACACTACCTGGCAACCATAAATTACTCCCCAACTCTCTCCCTCTATGGGACACTGCTGCCCAGTGCCTGGTCTAGACACTGCCCTTCCAGCTCAAAACAGCCCCCAATCACACCGGCACCTCAGCAAAACCTATCTTCCTCTCACAAACGTCCTCTCGTTCCAGAGCAGCAACACCCATCCCAGGAAAACGGGCGTTACCCAGAATGCCTCCCCTCCCAAGTAGAATCCAGTCTGCTCTGAGTCTGATAACTCCGCCTCTTAGGAACCCGGTGCACCCCTTCGCTCTCAGTGGCCGCGCTCAGAGACGGGTCCCCCGCGAACAGCAGGCGCCCACTTCCAACGCGACTCCCTCAGATCCAACTTCTACTCTGCTCCCACAGTCACCACTCCAATTTGAAGCCTAAGCGGAGTTAAAAGCTCTCTGAGGGGCGCCTGGCTGGCTCAGTCGGTTGAGCGTCCAACTTCAGCTCAGGTCCTGATCTCACGGTTCGCGAGTTTGAGCCCCGCGTCGGGCTCTGTGCTGACAGCTCGGAGCCTGGAGCCTGCTTTGGATTCTGTATCTCCCTCTCTGCCCCTCCCCTGCCCGTGCTCTGTCTCTCTCAATAATAAATATTAAAAGAAAAAATTAAAAAATAAAATACATACACACACACACACCATGCTGGGTACATCTGCCTTAGGAATTATTAAAGCACATTACATTTTTAAGAAGCAAACCTCTAAAATCAGGAACAAAATAAAATAAAAGTCAATATGGAGAGGAATCAAATAGGTAATTTCCAAACACAGTAATTTTTTCTCTTTTCAGATTATTTAAATTCCAGTTAGTTAACATATTTGATAACACTGGCTTCAGAGGTAGAATTTAGTGCTTCATCACTTACACGCAACACCCAGTGCTCATCCCAACAAGTGCCCTCCTCAGTGCCCATCCCCCACCCACTTGCCTCGGTTTCTCTATCCTTAAGAGTCTCTTAGGGTTTGCCTCCCTCTTTCTCTTCTCCCCTTCCCATACGTTCATCTGTTTTGTTCTTAAATTCCACGAGTGAAATCATATGGTATTGGGCTTTCTCGGACTTATCTCGCTTAGCATAATACCCTCCAGTTCCACCCATGTTGTTGCAAACGGCAAGATTTCATTCTTTCTCATCACCGAATAACATTCCCCTGTATATATACACGCTACATTTTCTTTATCCATTCATCGGTCAGCAGACATGTGGGCTCTTTCCATAGTTTGGCTGTTGTTGACAGTGCTGCTAGAAACACTGGGGGGGGGGATGTGCCCCTTCAAATAGCTGTGGTGTTGTTTTTTTATCTTCCAAAGAAGATATCCAGATGGCTGACACAGGAAAAGATGCTCAACATCACTCATCACCAGGGAAACACAGATCAAAACCATGATGAGATACCATCTCACACCTGTCAGGATGACTAAAATTAATAACCCAAGAAACAACAGGTATTGGCGAGGATGGGGAGAAAGAGGGACCCTTATGCACGCACTGTTGGTGGGAATGCAAACTGGTGCAGCCACTCTGGGAAACTATGCGGGTTCCTTAAGAAGTTAAAAGTAGGGGCGCCTGGTTAAGCGTCCAACTTCGGCTCAGGTCACGATCTCGTGGTTCATGAGTTTGAGCCCCACGTCAGACTCTGTGCTGACAGCTCAGAGCCTGGAGCCTGCTTCGGATTCTGTCTCCCTCTCTGCTCTTCCCTGGCTTACACCCTGTGTGTCTCTCGCTCTAAAAAATAAAAAAAAAAGTTAAAAACAGAACTTCCCTATGATCTAGCAATCACACACTAGATAGATATTTACCCAAACTAGTTAGTTATTTGACAATATCACCTTACAAGATACACTCACAAGCAAGTTTCCCAAGAAGCTTCAATTTTTTTCACAATCACACTGTTGCTAATAACAGTATCACGTTGCTTTTTCCTGTAATAAATCGTAATGTCAAAATAAAACAATTAGACATTACTGGTGTCAGGTGGAGAGAATTTATCCTAAGAAAGGCTAGACTGCCTGAAACCGAGGCAGTAAGAAACACGTACTAGAAGTCAGCTAGCTCTGTCCACTGAGGAGGGGGGCGAGCAAACACTAAGCAGCACCAGGGAGCTCTCCGAGCAACCAGAAAGAGCGAGCATTTGTAAGAGAAACAGCCACCTTCCTAGTCTGGGGCAGCACGTTCCCAAGGTGAGCCTCGGTGTCCTGTCACGCAGGGAGACTCCCCAAGACCACCGGGGACACGTCAAAGCCTCAGGTGCCAGGTGGAAGAGACCCTTGCTGTCTCAAAGTGACAATTCAAGAACCAGTAAGGACAGTAACTGCAACAGACGGAAAGACACTGACAACTTTTAACTCCACGAATTCGTTAAAAAGCTCACAACCGCTGCTCACCTGTGGATGCTGGTACGGGAGGTATTTCCACCCCGCTCCCTCTCCCCCCAAAAACCTACCCCACCTCCTCCCCTAACCAAGGAAGCAGAGCCGGAAGAAAACCAGGGTAAACCTGGATGCAGTCGGCAAAATCCCCAAGACAAATAACCCGGGTCTCCACCGCACACCAGTAAGGACGAGAAGCAGGAGGGCAGACAAGAGGAAAGGGAATCGCAGAAGGAACGCCAGCCCGACCAGGTGCCACCTGCAGGTGCTATCTGGATCCCACGCCAGGGAGGGATCATCGGAGGCTGTCAGGAAGAAGCCAACGACGACCAGACAGTCTGAGGCCCTGGGGGACTTGCCCTCAAGGCTTCGGTAAGGGACAACAGTGCCGTGGTTCCTTTCTATTTCCCAGGAACCTTCACCTTCGGGAAAGTGCACGGACATAGAGGATGAACTACCGAGAAATCTGCGAAGCGGCGCCGATGTGGGAGCAGAGAGGAGGCCGGGGCGGTCGAGGGCGGAGGCCGGGTAACAGGCCCACGGGGGGTTCGCTGCATCTCTCTCTTGTGTTGTACATACTCGAAAGTTTCCAGAACCCAAGAATTTAAAACAAGAACTGCACCGGGGAGGAGGGCCTAACCGGACCCATCGCTGACCGCCCGAGGCAGAGCAGAGCGATCCGGGGCGGACGTGGCGGCCCCGCCCCGCGCAGGCGCACACGGCTCG